CCACGGCTCGCAATAAGGAGCCGGCTCTAAGAGCCATTTCGTTCGCAACCGACACATTACTAGTACAAACCAGCGCCTGACTAACGCTAGCCCAGCCAGTCACATTGCACCGACTATGGCACCCCACTACAGCCCACTCTTCCTCCTCCTGGTTTAATTCTTTTCACAATCGCAGTAATTTTTTAAAAATTACATTTGTATCATGATATTTAACATACATAGATATAATACTGGGTTAAATGTAACTTGGCTAACAATCTTCTGCGGGTTCAGAACCTGCAGTGAATACTGCCGATGGTGGGCTGCATTATATTTATAACACATGATGTTTATTACTCACGTGTTTGTGTGGAGTTAAATCAGATGTCATTTAACCGTACATCCTTTTATAAATCTTTCCATTGTTTCCATTGTAGCTCAAACACACAGGGGTCCAATAAGACAAAGCGTGTCTGGAAAGGCCGAAAAATTAAGAATAAAGAAAAAAATACCAATCTAATGTAATATCAGATTATACATGAACGAAAACCGTTCATGGGCCCTCATATATGCCACGTAATCATCAGATCCTCCCTGAACAAACCTAAACCTTTAGATCAGATTGGGGCCATCACAGCCCTCTTCGTCAAATATCACCTTTACCTCAGAACATGGAAATTTGCTGTACACAAGTACAACTTATTCTGGTATGTCACCACTTTGCCAAAATCAGGAAGAAGACCTAAATTGTCATCCTCAGATGAGAAGAAAATAGTTTGGATGCTCAAGAGCAACTCAGGAACCACTAAGGTTCAATCCTGCCATGAACTGGAAACTGCTGAACACCAGCATCGCTTTCTATAGTGAAGTCAGTTTTGCATCAACATGGACCCAGGCTACCAATCAAGAACAAAGCCTTCCCAAAACCCCAGACTTGACCCCATAGAAAATTTGTGGGCTAAGTTTAAAAGCAGAGAGAAAACCAACTAATTTAAAGAACTCAACCAATTCTGCCAAGAAGGGTTGTCCAATATCCAGAGGTGCCTGTGTGTATACTTTTGACTGTGTGGATGAGAGAAAATTCAAACGTGTGCACCTCATTCTTGTTTTTGACTCACTGAAGATGCTGTACAGTCAAAACACTGCAAAAGAAACTATTAAACGACAAACGTTACCATGATATTCTTGCTCATGAGGAGTGCATTTTAACTTCTCATCAACTTCATTTACTCATACACACACATATCTACACAGTGTTTTTATCTATGCCTCCTCTAACATTTTCATTCAGTCACACTCACTAACTGGCACTATGGTGAACACACTGAAGGAAACTCAGGAGTGATCCTCCTCAGGGAAGCGGGCTGGAGGGATCCATCAACCTTCCAACTGGTCCATGGCCTGGTCTAGCAAAATTCTAGTTAATCCCATCTGCTACTTCAAACTGGGAGCTACCACTAATGTCATCTACTATATTTTACTGAATATGGATGAGTACTTCAAACAGCAATTACTTAAAAGACACCATACTGTCCCGGTTAGACTTCCACAGTCACAAAAAAAGCTGCTCTAGTGGCAATATCAGCATAAAGATAAGTGTCTGTTGTTTCAAGCAGGTATTATGTGAAGTTAATTCAAAACATTATTGTGAAAATATAATTCAACAACTTTTATTCTGAACTCAAAATATAAAAAGCCACAATCCTTATCCAGTGTGTACAGGGTGTCTTTGAGCACTTAGTTTTCAGGTCACAACACCAAAGAGATCAATTAATAAAGTTCTTACAAATTAATCTCCTGAGTTTGGTTCCATTATTGCTGTCAGCTTTTTCACTTTAACTCCACCAGTTGTACGATTATTTACAGTCGAGGTTCCACACGACTTAGAGTCCAAAGGGTGTCTTCAAGAACTCAGTAATCAAAACCTGATTCTGAGTATAGGATCCACACAGCTACTCAAAAAGGAAAGCATGAGCAGAAACTGTTCAGTTTAATACTCAGATGCTAGCATGTTATAAAAAAGTCATCTTCACTTTCCTCTCGCACTAACAACGGTGATGGTAGTGGAAAGCAAGAAAAGCCACATTTCTCCTCCGTTCACGTGTGAGATCGCTGACGTTTCCAGAACCTCTTGACCTCGCTGTGTCCCTGTGGTGTCACCACCATCACTCTGTGGGCCACATCCTGCCACACCAGACAGCCCAGGCCCTGCACCAGAACACCTGTGTTAGACACCAGTAGGCTACAGAGACAGGCTTGGCATTTGATGAACAGAAAAGTCATAAAAAGATGTCCATCTGCTGTAACTACAACACGTCGATCGCATGTAATTATATGAATACATACAGTGAAAATATGGCACAACTTCACTGGCTCTTGTGCTGTAACACCAATACAGGAGTTATGTTTAAGGAAATTTGTTTTTACAACTTGTTATGTTTTGTTGTGCAGCAGGACGTCCATTATGAAGACATGAGCGTCTTGGAGCAGCAGGTACAAGCAATGCTGGAGACCTCAAAATCAAAACAGCAAATCCTAACTGACTAAAGATCCTTAAAAACATGACACAGTAGATTAATCTGTTATGATTCTGGTATTAATATAAAAACAAACCAACCTGAGCTCTGTCTCGCAGAACCTCAAAGTCAGCCTGGGAGAGGAACTGGTTATAGAGCACACCTGAAGGAGACATGGACAACGCACACACGCACGCACGCACGCACGCAC